GCCTAGAGAATATCATATGGCTGTACCTTATTCCGTCTGAAAAAATGCTGTATACTTTCTTTGGCAACTTCATCTCATGCGTTGCTAGTGATTTCATAATGTTTTATATTATTTCAAAAAGGACAGCATTTATACAAGTGTAGTGCTGGGTAGTCACAAACAATATCAACCCAAGAGTGCGATCCTTAGCAGAGTTACACCCTTCTAAACCCATTGACATCAATGGATCTATAAGGGTGAAAATCTGTTTAGGATTCCACTGTGAACCATCAAAACTGTATGAACGTGCTTTGTGGACCTCTGAAGCTACCATATCTGTAATACAAACTCTCACCGATTGGTCCGGCTCCTGCTTTCCTACCATTCCACAGACTGATATAGTATGGCAGACCATTAATTATTCAGGGGAAATGATTTGATGATAATCATACTTACCTTCTGTTGATTTTATCTTGTGTATTCTTCTCTGAAGATATGTTTCAGGGCATAATAATGTGGGATAAGGTTATAAACTAGTTTGGGAGAGGTACTGCTTGGAGGAGGTGGGTATCAACCAGTGCTTCAGTCACTAAAATGGGAAAGGACAGAGCTGCACCTGCCTGCAAATTATTCCATCCCAATTAAAATTCATCCACTAGAATTAGGGAGGTAGATGTGTATGGCTATCGTGTACCAAAAGGGCTCACAGCATTGGTGGTAGAAGTGGGCTGCAGAAGGGGTTTGTACATGCCCCCACTGAGCGAAACAAAGTATTCATTCTTCTCCTTCTGCCCAACCCCCTTGCCTCCATCTACCCTGGTGGCAAACACCCCCCCACCCCCACCCCCGTATTCAGAAGAGGCAACCAATTTCCTTTGGTACCTTTGCAAACGATAACACTGTTCTTTTGCTGAGTTGTTGTATTTACACTATTGGCTTCTGCAAGGATCAGAGGAGTCAGACAGCTGGTTCTATAAGGTATTCTCCCAAAGATTTATAGCAGGGATGTCAAACATGGGGGGGGGGGGGGGGAAAGTCTGGGGCTCTTATCTGGCCCATGAGTAACTGGTGCGACAGAGCGAACAGGAGGCTGCTGAGGGGAGTGGGGGGGGGGAGCCACTCCGATCATGGCTTCAGCGTGACAGAGCAACCTCATCTGTAGCGATCAAGCAGAGCCCCCTTTGCTTCCGTGGCAGCCTCACTGGTAAATTGGGAGCCACTGCAGCCGCATTCATGCTGGCTCAGAGTTCCAAGGCAAGGTCACACGCCTCTCTGTTCAGCCCACAGCTCTGGAGATGGTGTCCTGGATGTCCGTGGGGATCAGACTTTGCACGTGGGAGGGGGGGCAGTACAGATGATCCTTGGCTGACAGCCAGCACCACAACCATATCCGTGCCCTCCCACGCTGCGGCTGCGCTTTGGCCCATGGGGGGGACATTCTTCAGCAGTTTCTTCCACACATTCGGGACCTAGTCCTGCCACCGAGCACATGGCTCACTGGCTGGGGCTCCCTCCCCATGGAATACCTGGAGGCCTTCAGCCATTGGCAGCTGCCACCACGTGGGGGGCAGTGTCGGCGATCTCTGGCTATACTGGTAATTTGGTGGTCTGAGTCCTCTGTCACATGCGAGGCCTTGTGTGCACAGTGCCTGTTCCCCATCAGACGACCCAGCAGCCTTCTGTCTGTAGCAGCTGCCACCACTCTGTGAGACTGTGTCTTTTTGTAATATTTTCGTATGAAGTAAATGTTGGAGGAAGATATTTTTGAATAATAGCTCATGTTTCCTACAGCACTTAGACCGGGTCCTTTTCTGTGAGTTATCATAGGTGCTGGTCTATTTGTGGTTGTATACCACATGGGGGTGGCGTGGCTTGCTGACGATCTCTGGCTTGAACCCCCAGCATCACCCTGCCATGGATTGCCTGGCAGCCTTGGCTGGAGGTGGCCACGGCTTCACAGGTGTCTGCAGCTTATCGGACTGTGCTTGGCCTGGGTCCCACCATGTATGTGGCCTTTTGCTTGGGTCACTGCCCCCTGCTTTTTCAGGTGGGGGGGTTGGTTCAATGTCTTCCCAGTCCCCTTCCATGGTGGCTTGGGGGCAGGGGGGAGCTTGCAACACCCAGCCGCTTCACCCGAGCTCACAGCATCGGTGGTAGAAGCAGGCTGGAGAAGGGGTTTGTAGCCCTCCGGGCAGCACAGGGGCATCTGCTTAGCACAGCACTGTTGGCTCTCCAGTCTGCCCCTATGGGTTTTCCTCTGCATCCCTCTCTCTAGTTCATGGGGCCTTGCGGTGAGGACACACCAACTCAGAGCTCATCAGCTGCTGTCCTTTATAAAGTTTTGTTGGGATTCTTTGATTCAGGGTCGATGGTTATATTGCAAACACAAGAGCACACACTTGGTAAAAGAAAAAAATATCTTTACTATAAAACAAAATAAAACATGGGTAAGGTACTTTGGATAAAAGAAATAAAATAAAAGGTTACATACTTGCAGTTACTTTCAGTACTATATGCTAACAGCCACATCTTTCTAACTGTCTTGGCTTCTAGAGGAGAACCTCTTTGGTTCACACAAAGGGCCATAAACCTTGTGAATACATTAATGCTAGATCAAAGCATTTCCACAAACAAGTTGTTAGTTGACCAATACAAAGGTTACAGGTCACTTCATTAGGATAAACAACTCCCACAAACTTTCCTGCTGTTGAATACATTATGTAACGTAACATCCTGTTTCCTAACAAACAACATTTAACTCTGTAATGACTGAAGTGTAAGCAACTTGCAATTCCAACAAGTTTGTATCTCTGGTACCTGGCATTATGTTTTATGGCACACATGGCCCAGCCTGACAAGGTGACATTTATGTCAGATGCCCTCATAACAAATGAGTTTGACAACGCTGATTTATATTTTTAATACTTTTTATTGTTTTTCTTCCTACACACTACAAAGACTATACCCTACAAAACTAAAACTACAAAGAGGGTAACAAGAACCTATGATAGGCTAATCAAATGCTTTAAGTATATGTCTACATGCTAAAAATTTCATTCAATTCTTCAAAATCTAATAAAAGTGTTCAAAAAGAAAGAACATAAAGGCATTTTTGATATTACATCACATCTGGTTGAGAATATAAGTAAGTTAAATGTCAACGTAGATAATCTCAGATCTTCACTTAGATTTCTTCTTAGCTTTCGTTTTCTTCTTCAGACAACCCTGATTTATAGATCTTACAATGTTTGTCTTTTTTAAAACTTTGGCTGCATTTTATTTGCCGCTTCAAATAGTTTTTTATTTCATGCTTCGTCCTACAAAGAAGTATGAGTATTGCTATGAACTCATAGATGGTGTTTTCCAGGTTGCCTGAATGTTCTATCTGCATTCCCCTTACCGTTTCCCCCCCACGCCCCCTTGTATCCAGACAACCTCGCTAACATCCCCGTGCCATCCTGGTTTTTCCTCATCCCCCCCCCCCATTTCCTAAACCTTTTCTTTCCATTGTGGAATGAATTAGAAGATAGACCCTTGCTCAAAATGTGAACAGTTTTTTCCGTCTCATGGATTGTTGCCCAAACATGCCCAGAAAGGGTGGGTTTGGGTAGTGATTTTTTAAAAATTGCATGCCAGCATTTCAATGTTTCAGTGCTGAAGGGTGCCTGTGCTGAAACAAAAGTTCATTTCCACTGGGAGACCTGACACCAGCAGCCAGTAATTGCCTTCATTCACACTCAAGAGCAGATTCTAGCATGTTCCTGGGCACCTTTTTCAAATACATTTTGTACTGCATACAGCTACCCCGAAAATGTGTAATTGAAGGAAACAAGCTGTTGTGAACTGTGTGCTGATGGAAAGGAATTCAAAATGCTGGGGGGGGGGAGCCAATGAGAGAAAAAAGCAGGAAAAAAGGCAACCCAAAAGGGATGAGACATGTACACCAGGTACAACTCTCAGGTGTGGTGTGGTGGGCGGGAAATGTACTCTTAAGGGGATTTCTCGCCCCCTTGAGGCTAATGAAGCACTGCAATGCTTCAGCACATGTGCCCGCGTGCGCACACACACACACACAGGGAATAAAAACCCAGAACACCGATCCACAATATGAACAGATGGAACACTGACAGGGGGGAAACGAAGAAGACACGTAAGTGTGCATTGATTGCAGCAATAGCGTGATCATCCGAACTGCCACAACACCAATGAACACCCGAAAGGCGGCTGCATTCTGGAAAGCGCCCATGTTAGTACTGGAGCCTTCTAAAAGCTTTACTATCACTGACATGGTAAAGAGAAAAGAGAATATTACTTGTAGTGTATGGAGAGAAGACATACTTGTTTAACTCCTGACATGTCTAGCAGCACCAGAGCCCAGAGAAATAGCCTGAAGCTGTATAGAACAACACTTCACATTCATGTTAATAGACATGATAATAGATTAGACACAGATCCCGTCAGCTATAGTGCAGAATCCTACATTTTTCTGTACAGAAGGAGCTATCCAACCTTGGCTTTAAAAGAATTAACTCTGCATTCTTTCCTTTCTTAGGACTTGGAATAAGCGGCTTTCATCATGAGTAAAGTACCATGGGTGGGAACATGGAGGCCTCATCGTCCAAGAGGTCCAGTCATGGCCCAATTTACCAGTCCTGGGCCCAAGTACTATGTACAGGGAGCAACAGGTAAAAATGGGGGGGGGGACTGGAGTCTTGTTTTAAAAGAAACCTTGTTTCATTCATTACATTAAAGTAATATATAGGAGTCCAGTTAATTTCTTTTTATCTGTAAGAAGTGTCATGTTCTGCTGAAACATCTGCATTTTGAGAACAATTGTTGGAGAAATTTTTCTGCACAAGGCAAGTTACCCTGAAATGACTGAGAATTGCTCAAGAGAGATTCTGCGTTTATTCCAATCGCCCTTGTTTGGGACCATTCCCTGGTAGACTTTGCCTGTAATATTTTCCTGCTGTGATAACTTAGTCTCTCACTTGGCGCCTATTTGTTATTAATTCCAGTTGAAAGTTTAGGAAATGGCACAGTTATCTGTACCTTTTGATTCTATGATTGTCAGGCCTCACGGATTCCTGACGCAAGGGGCTCTAGCCTGAGTTCCCCTCCCTGCACTTGTCCAGTCCAACAGAGCCCTGCAATTATCTGGATTATAATCAGCAGGGCTCATTTCCTGCGGGAGCCCACAGGAGCGGCACTCCGGCAGTAAGGAGCCCAGGGGGTGGGCACATGCAACAAGCCCCGCCCCCTGCTCCCAGCAGCCCTCAGTTGGGCCACGAGGAGCAAGAAGCAGCCAGGTAAGTTGCAGAGGCCCCCCCCCCAGCCCGCCTTCAGGTACAAGCTCTCCCTCCTCTGTGAGGGCAGATCTGTGCGTCCCCCCCCCCCAATAGCTAGCAATCCAAAACAGTCCAGTGGAGCCTGAGCGTTGGGTGTTGCCTTCTAACACACTTCTGGTGATGTCAGGGGGTGTGGCATATGCAAATAAGTTATGCAAATAAGTTATGCTAATGAGCTCCTGCACCTCTTTTTCTACGAAATGACCCCTGATAATCAGGACTGTGTGAATTCTGCAGTCCTGTTATCACGATGTGTAACAGTCCAGTGAAACATCAGACTGGTAAACACGTGGTAGCAAAAAAGAGAAAAAGTGGGGCATCGGTCGTTTCCTCAAATGCCTGCGTGAAGGCTTTAGTAGCCTGAGAATCTGTTTCCATTTTTTTTTACCTGAACTTTGTAATCTTTAAAACTATGAAGATAATTCAGAATTATGTGGGCGATGCCTTGTGAAATCTCAAATGCTAGAGGAGCAAACTAGGAGCCTGTTTTGGGTTTCTCGGGCGGTCTGGCAGAACTCCTTGCCCAACTCTTGTGATCTGAGTAAGCAGAGGAAATGATGCAAAGAGGATAAAAAAGGCGAACTTTCTGACAGTTAAGGGGGTTTGGAGAAATTTCTCTCTGACTCCTGAAAGCACCCTTTTGACCCAAAAAATAGAAACCTGAAAAACATCCCGCACAGATCAGGTCCATCAATAGTCAGCAAACTTACCGCTGCATTATGCATACCTCCTTCCTACACTAATCATGCAATAATTCAATTTTATTTATTTAGCTCACATGACCAATGGTCTCAAGCACACCCACAGAATACAACAAACATGTAAAATACCAATGTAGGAGTTTAAAACTGTTAACATTTCACATCCAATTAAAATATAAACTGTATAAAGGTTTAAAATATGAAACTATAAGACACTGCAGTCATAAAATTGAAAACAATTGAAAACAATTGGAATCAAAAAGTGCACACCTCCCTTTAGCAGCAATTATTTACGCTTCAGTGCTATTGTAATAGCTAAGTATTTTGCTACTGAAGTGGTGATTGTCAGGTCAGTATCTGTCAGCAGATAAAAGACCACCCATGGCTCCAGTGGAAGATGGTATTGAGATAAAATTGGATATAGCCAATATGACCTAAGAGCTAACCAATGAGAACAAAACAAAAGGAGATGTGTCAGCATCTCAATCTCCCCAGAAGCGCAGGTACAAAGCCTCTCTGAATACAGAGTTCATAATCATGCAAAAGAGAGGCCTCAGGACAATTCTACCTGACTGAAAATTAAACCCAGCCTGCAGGTTGAATTCAACATGTGCTACAGGTGGCTTGGGTTGCAAAGCAGTAATCTGATTATTCTGTTGTACAGTTAGACCAGTTTACAGTTCCATGGCAGGGTGTGAAAACAGTTAGTAATCACAGTTCCCACTAAGCTGAGTCAGTGTGAGCTAGCTCACAGTTTTTTAGCCTCCAGCTCGCACGTTTTTGTCTTAGCTGAGGAAGGACAGCTCCAGAACAAACTGATTTATGCAGCAGCCAAATCGCTGGCTCACAATTTTAATGCCAGTACCTCACAAAGTAGAATTTTTGCCCACAAGACTCCACAGCTTAGAGGGAGCATTGTTAGTAACAGGGGTAGAAAAAGAGCTGCCGGAGCTCATTAGCATAACTCATTAGCATAACTTATTTGCATATGCCACGCCCCCTGACATCACCGGAAGTGACAGAAGGCCACACCCCCTGACATCACCGGAAGTGTGTCAGAAGGCCCGGCTACTTACCCTCCTGCTTCATCCTCATTCCCAAACGGAATGAGGATCGAAGCAGAGGGCGGGGTAAAGAAGGGGGCGGGGCTTCACCACGTGACCGCCCCGCCCCCTAGAGGTTCTCTTCCGGAGCTCCGTACCTGAGAGCTCCCCCCCGACTAGAGCCCTGGTTAGTAATGTCCTGAAAAATCTGGCCACAAACAAGAAGAAGAGCAGGTGATTTTTATACCCCACTTTAATCTGCCTTAAGGCGTCTCAAAGCAGCTCTTCGCACAACAGCTATTTTCTGAGGCAGGTGGGGCTTTGAGAGTTCTGAGACAACTGTGACTGGCCCAAGGTCAGCTGGTCATGCATACGGCCATGAATATGGGGGAACAGTTGCTGGTCTTGACAAAAAGAGATTATGGAGGATGCTTCTGCACACCAGAAGTAGAACAGGTCTAGCCTCTCAGCTAAAGATGTCAAAAGGGAGGTTAGAGACCCAGAATTGAATAGCTTTGGCAGGGCCGGCCCATCATTGACAAATTTTAGACCGTTGCCTAGGGCGCTGGCTCAACGGCGCCACTCTGGCCTGCCTGCCGCCCTGCCTTCCCCATTAGGCCCTGGGCCGCGTGTCCCGCTGGTGGGCTCCCTTTCCCTTGGCCAGCCAGCCTTGTCCCCTCCTCGCCCCACACAGGAAGCAAAGCATCCCAGGGCGCACCTCCCTTGCAATTCAGCAGCACTGTTTGGGGAGGCGAAGAAAAGCATCCCCCCACCACCCTAACCCTGGGTCCCTGGGGAGCCTCTGGCCAGCTTCGGCTCCTCTCCAGGGAATGCAAAAGAGAGGGGGAGGTTTCCCGCGAGGCCTGAAGTGGCTTTTCCTCGCTTCCCAATGGGGCTTCCCAATGGGGCGGGGGAGCAGGGGGTGCACCGTGCAGCTTTCCTGGAGAGAGCTGTCCTCGCTGCAGTCTCCTCTGCCCCACACCCTGCCCAAAGGGGCTGATGACGTCGCCCTGCAAGACCCCGACGGGGCTGCGATTGGTGCCAGGGGAGGAGGGGACTGGAAAGTGGCTGGCTGTTGCTTGCGCATCTGAGCGCTGTCCAGGAGGCCCAGAGCGCCCCAAGAGGAAGGCCCGTGGGGGGGAGAAGGAGAAGTGACCCTCGGGGCGCAGGAGCCAGCCGGGATCTACGCGGGGGCAACTTGGCGGCTGCTGCGGGGGTGCACCAGAAGGTAGCCTCGCCTACTGTACAAAAAACCTGGAGCCGGCCCTGAGCTTTGGAGAGCAACAATAAACATTGGAGTAAGACAATAATATGGCCTTTGTAGATCAGAAGCTGTCTAACCGATGGATATTACGTGCTGAGGTCCAGGTGCAGAAGCATCTGAAAATGGCAAGAATGTCCGGCTTCACAGAAGTGAAGATATAATTCAAAGATGAAGCGTCTTGTTGAGGGCCAAAAGATATTCATATGGATGAGAAACTTGTCACAATTTTTTTAACATAAACTTTCTTGTAATAAAAAGTAGCAAGAACTAACAAATTTAAGAAGATAATAAAGTACAGATAACTGTGTGTGGTGTTTGAAGAGTCAAGAATGTAAGCTCCTATCAAGTGGAACAGCTAGTGAGAATTCATGGCCTGGCAACTCTATTACCACACCTCCCCTGTTTAAGTAGCACACAGTAGTGAAGGCTGGAATACTCCCTGCACCCCAGCCCATGGGTCACTGCTTTTGAATGACCCTCATGTGAATTATCTCTGCCCATGTGTAGTAAAACAGTGCAGCAGGACAAAAGGTTTAGGTAGCCCCTTCCCCCGATATCCTCTACTACACAGAGGAAGCCTTAAAACATTTTTTTAAAATTATCCGTCGACACTGTTGAGGATCTGACACTAGATCTCCAGATGTGCAATTTAAACTTCAAAAGTAGCAATATGAGATGGTAATTTGAATCGCAGCTACAGTGCTAAGGCATTTTTTAAAAACCACATATCTCTAGTTAAAGGATCTCAGGGAGCAGGGCTGGGAAGGAAAGACCCTTTCTGCGGAGATCTTGGAGAACTGCTACCAGTCAGATAGATTAACTGGTGCCCTGAGTCAAGGCCAGGCAAGCTCCTTGTTTCTTAAACTTCTGCATGAAACGCATCCCTGTTTTTTCTCTCCAGGTTTTGTGTCGCACATCCCAACCAAAAGGAGAGCCCCTGCCTACAGTATGCATGGGACAAAGCCCCTGATCAGTAAAGAGTGCTTTCCGGGTCCTTACCCTGTGCAGTCCTCTATGACTCACAGAGGGAAGAAAAGTTCTCCCGCTTACACAATGGCTGGGCGTCCCAGAGTAAAAGTGGAGACGACACCAGGCCCTGGTGAGTGATATTCTTCCATATCAGGTCTCCATTTACTGTATCCACTGACTTACTTGAGACAGATTGTGGTGCAGCAGTCAGAATGATTCT